TGAATGGACACTTCCTGGTATGTGGTGCAGGAAACATAGCCTTATATGGTGTTTTTAGGGTGGTAATTATGCTAATCTCCTCTCTTCGTGAACGTGCATCAGTTTACGCAGCTCATTTACACACTTTTCCTGAAGATAGAAGAATTTGTTGAATCTGACGTGACATGTTCGTACGAACCCTTCGTACGAACAAAAGTAAGAGAAATTTAGGATAAGAATATGAACATGTTCTTGCATGAAGCCCAGTGCTTCTTGGCAGCAGGCACCTAGGGGTACCAGAAGCTCAAAACAAGCATCATTAGCAAAATAAGCTGTTTGGTAAAGGCAGAGAAGATTTTGATTTTTTTTTTCTTTTTTCATTTGCTACATAAGGGTTTAGCAATACTGATACTATTATCACAATTAACTGTGGCATTTAGCTGATATTTAGCGTAATATGGTGTTTTCTTTTTCCTCGTACTCTGGTTTAAGTTGGTGTTTCTGGTGATTGAACAAATTTGTAGGGCTAGTGTTAGCGTTAGCTTCACGCCACCTTCCACTGTTGGGTTGAACAGGTTGAAAAATCTGACCCAAACAGAATATAAAAATATCCACGTAGCACCAAGTGAGGCTAAATTCAACTTTTCTGGTCCACAACAAAATGCAGTTAACATCTAAAATAGTGGATTTTGCAGGATGTTTCCAATTTAAAGAGCGTATAAAGTAAAAATAAATGTGTGTTGTGAGGTTGTCACACACACAAATATGTTAAAAATCACCCAGCCAAGTTTGAACCAATTAAAAATACTGTTAACCTTGTAAAATTATYTGTTAAAAGTAATGAAAAAACATCAGTTAGCTGTGGTCTGGAATGCTGGGGGCGTGTCCTCTGGAGGAGCTTAAACCACGCCCACGACCCAGAACATTCCTGTAACCAAGGAAATAATGTTTTTCTTTTCCATTTGAGCAACAGGGGGCGGGGTTATACCGAAGGCAGCTGCGTGACATCACAAGGCTGCCCTTTAAGACACGCCCAAAAAATCCCGAAACATAGATACCTTGTTACACAAATTGAATCATATCTCCACAATTCAAATATCTACAGTTGAGAGAATTTGTACTCATTTACTACAACCTATTTATGACATTTATAATGTTTAAAAAGAAAAAGTTACATTTTACTTTACACAGTCTTTAAGAACGGTTCTTATTTATCAGATTCCACTCAAATTGCGCTAAATGCAGTGTGGAGAGTCTACGTGTGCCCAGTACCTCGCTGGTTGTCCGTAAAGCCGGTGAGATGCGGCAGACTGTCGGGACTCTGCGCAGACAGTTTGTTGCTGAGGTAAAGAAAAACCAGAGCCATCAACGCCATGAGGGCTGCAATGGAGGACAGAACACCTAAGAGTTCAGGAGAGACTGGAGAGAGGACACAAAAGGGAGGGAACAGGTGTGAAAGGGGAGGAAAGAAAAGTTAGAGGAACAGAGATTCAGTTTTCAGATCAAATATTCATATTATTGCTCGCGTACAAAAAATAAAACCAACGTCTCACACATTTAAAACTCCAAATCTCCCAGTGACAGAAACAATTGCTTTTTTAAACAGCCACAGTTCTTCCTACTTCAAAGGCAAACGAGAGCTGAGCTACAGCAGCGTATGTAGGCCAACCGCACTTCATGTAACCGTGCAGCCTGCTGCTATTTTTACTAGAGCCTCAAAGGAAAAGTATCAGACAGAAAAGTAGTCCTGGTGAGAGCCCAAGAACCACATTGGACTTGCGTTTAAGAAACCAAAACCCAGACGTACCACGCCGTATTAGCTGAAGAAGACGTGAAGCTTGTTTTACATTTTTAAAGATCATACGACTCAATGAAAAGGGCAGCTTGATTAAAAAAAAAAGGGACACTCAAGGTAAAGTTTGTGATAAATGTTGTGACATTTAGATTTTTGATAACAGCATATCAAAGAATACGTCAGATCTATACTGTCAGGTCAGGGGTTCACCGCCAAGGTGGGTAGTGTTGTAGTCTCAAGACCAAGTAAAGACCTAGACTTTTAGGGGCTGGACCAAGTCGAGACCAAGACTGACAGACAGAGAGAGAGAGATTGAGTCAAGACCAAAACCAAAAAAAATAAATGAAACTAGACATGGGTTTTTACGATGTAAAAACAAGTGTGCATTGCCTTGTAGCATGTCTTTGTCTGCAGCAGTGGACTTGCAGAATGAACTGTGACCAAGTTCAAATGTGTTTTCTATACCAGCTTGTGCTGGTCAAGTCAGCAGGTGTTTGTAATGAGGGTAATTGTGTGACAATATGAAGTTTGTAGAGATTTTCTGTTAAAGTTATTGTTGCTGGGTTTCGAACCCAGATCTCCTACATGAAAGCCCATGGCACTAACCATGAGACCATTAGAGCTGTGATAGAGAATGAGGCCAGGGTTTGGTTTGTATGTGTGCAGAAAGTGGCCACATTGCCAATGTAATGGTTGTCACTAAATTGAAAAATATTACAATAAAGCAATATTAGGACAATATTTTAGTAAAACATCAAAAATACTGTCATATTAGTATTGTAAACACTGAACTATTGAGATTAAATATTATTAAACTATGGTGCAGTACTGAGTAGATACAGCAGGGGCAGTATTGGACCAATACAAGGCTCCATTGACTCCAATTATAAATTATTAAACATTAATATTTCCAAAACTATAAGTTGTACAGGCACCAAAGGTCATAGCCATCGTTTGGCACAGGAGCTTTACAGATATAAATTACAATGGCAGCTCTAGGACAAAGTATGCAGGAGGAGAAGCGTGCCAAAGTGGAGATTACTTGGATGAGAAACGAATCACAATAGTGCCCTAAAACATACAGTATACCATACACAGCTAGCTAACTTAAAGAGCCTGTGACATGCAAACCTTCAAATACAGTCAAAGAAATCATTATTATATTTAAGAAACTTGGCATAATACACACGATTTTACCCATTTCATCACATAACCAGCATATTTTCTTTTGGATTTAGCTTAACCAAAATGAAACAGGAAGTGACATCAAAGGGGAACTCTTTAAGAATAAAACCCTGATCTTTCTGATCTTTGTTTATTGAAACATTGTTTGAACTTTGACTCTTCTTTATGTCTCTGATAGAGACTCAAAATGACCTAAAGAAACATCAGATTCTTCTCTACAGTCTGTGTTGTCAGACATTTTATCAATGCTCTGCTCACATCCAGACATTCCCCTTTGACATCACTTCCTGTTGCCTTATATGCAAATATCTCAACTGTTCATCTCAGCAGCATGAAATTTGTTTTGCATTATGTTGTCAGTGTTATCTTTCCATAAATGAATTCAAATTAATAACAAAAATTTGAAGTCACAGGCACTTTAATATGTATAGTTGATATTAACTAAAACACTTTGTGTGAAAAGAATTTCGATACAGAGGCAGATTGCTAGCTTTGCTAACATCATTTACACAAAACTTACCTTTCTTTTTGCTTCTTTCTAAAAAAAACAAAGTTTGACGTTGTCATCTCTGAAAGCAAATTTAATTTTAAGCGAAGTTGCTCCATTCTTGTTTTACAAATACATTCTTTATGATTTATGTAGCCGAATTGTATTACTGATGATCCTGCAGACATCTTGTCCCGCTCCCAGACAACCACAGCTCGTTTTCTTCGAAAAGTGAAAGGGGGATGGGTGGCAGCGGTGCCAAAAATACATAAATAATGAGCCATGCTTGGATTAGCAACGATGTTAACAAATAAATTGGACAATATTCTGACAGTTTAGTGGCATTGTCATAGTTGTGGTTTTGACTGGTTTCGACTGGCCTTGAATACCACAACATTGAAGGTGGGTACGCTTTAATGCAGGAAGGGACAGGCAACAAAATAATGTGCGCAGCCAAGAATGCAGTTTTGCAAACCGTGCAAACCAGAACAGGCCGAAATATTCAAAGGATTGTTCAACGTGGCCACGTGATCACAGAGTTTAGAGATGCAAACAAAAAAAATGTTATGATTACGTAATCGCGAGTGACCTCACCGATCGCACTGGTTCAGAGAGAAAACCGGTTTCTGCCTGAGTGCACGAACGAAACAGAAAAAGAGAGGCACGGTTTCTCAAACCGAACTTATGGACAGACACCATGGAAACAGGAAAAACACCACTGCAGCTTTGACAGCCAGCCCTGCCAGAATGATCAACGCTTCCTTTACAAGGAAGGGAAGAGAGCAGAGCCTTACCTTTCTCTAAACGAGCATCACTTTATTAGAAACCAGCTCTAGATGACCAACGATGAAACGGTGCAGCTCTGAAGTCCTCAAAAACACATAAAACCCCTCAGGTTTAGTTTGGTCCAGAACTTTCGATGCTTCTGGTTCAACTCTCGCTGCTGATGGAGCCAGAATAACCTCTGCATCCACTGGGTTTTCTGGCTCCACGCCGCCGAGATGTGACGAAACTTTATCCGTTGTTTCGCTCTCTAAACGTTAACATGGCCTGAATAATTTAAAACACCCGAGGTAACCTGACGACATCGTCCGCGAACACCTGAAAGAGCTGCTTTTATGATACGCAACATTTACAGGAGGATGATGTTTCTCCAGGCAGGATATTTCGAAAAACCTGCTTCTTTTCACCTGTTTGCTTTGAGTAAACAAAAAAAAATCAGAATCAATCTATTTTTTTTTACAGCTTGTGAACTGAGGATGAACTCTGAGCTGAGCCTCAGGATTCGATCAGTTTTTTTTTTTCCTGAGCTGCCTAACAAACGTGGAAAACAGCCGCTCAAGGTGAAAATGAACGATGCCCTCGGAGAGATGAGGGCTGGCCTCCGCGAAACGTTCGTGTCAAATAAAAACGGGGGAAAGCGATCACCCTGAGTTTCTGCACACGTAAGACACGGACAGACTAAAAACTGTTCACAGTTTTAAACTGTGAGATCAGGACGCGGCGTGCTTTAAAGCTTGTGCTTGTTTAAAAAGGAGTGGGCAGTATGAAAGTGTTGCTTACACAGACCTCTGAAACCAACCGAAACCTACATGCTGAATAAATTATGCACACACAGCTGCCTTCCTTTGCTGAGGTGAACTAAAACTTGATACGCTGTGCATAATTTACACACAAAACGTTGTATTCCGACTGTATTAAAACAACTTATTACACTAATATCTTTAAATTTCAGGAGTGTCGTGCAGCTTGGGTTTACCTCGTCTGACGCAGATGAGCTCGTGAGCACCGCAGTTTCTCCCCCCGCCTGGAAGACAGAAACACGGAGTTGAGAATCAGATTAATAAAAAGATTAATCTATAAATCATAAAAACGTTTGCTCTGCTTTTAGGATAAATAATGTGGCAGGCGTGATTTTTTTTGGCAAACATAAAACTAGAAGCAACTGTTTAATCCTCCTGCTGCCCCTGGGTCTAAATGACCCATGAGACTTTAGTCCTAAAACTGAGACCGCAGGTTATTTGGACTCAAACTGGTCCAAATTAGATTCAGTCATAAATGTGGGGGTTTAACTGTCCTGGGGAGCCTGGGGACTTTGGGTTGGGCTCTCCAATCTCTGGGGACGAGGTCGCTGAGGTGGTCAAAAAAGCTCCTCGGTGGCAGGGCCCCGGGGGTGGATGAGATCCGCCCAGAGTTCCTCAAGGCTCTGGATGTTGTAGGGTTGTGTTGGCTT